CGTTATCACTGTATAAGGTATGATAAAAGAAATCTTTAAATCCTTCTATTATATAAAGCGCTAACTTTGTGTGTCGGTTTGTGTATCTGTATGTGTGTGTGTGTGTGCGTGTGTGTGTGTGTGTGTGTGTATGTATGTGTGTCCGTCCGCAAAATGAAGTGAGTGAGAAGGAAGCTCATGGGATAAACAAACCGCTAACAAATCGGGTAGCTTACAGGATTTGAGATATCAATGTTTTGTAGCAGGATAGTTGTGATAACACTCTTAGGGCTATATAAACACCTGCTTAGCACACTTCCGTTCATTCCACATGGTGCTGCAGTGGCAGCTGGAGGGCAGTGGAGAGAGGAAGGGAGGATGAGGAAGGGAAGCGAAAAATCTACCGTCATATCATGATTGTGTCCCTTCTACTGTATGAAACACCATTGTGTTGCATACGCGTCACTTCCAGGAGGTGTTGGTGTCACAGGAGGAAGGGACCATAGCGGAGGATAGAAAGCTTGCGCAGGAAAGGAAGGTCCCGGCGGTTGACGGGGGGACTAATCTGGTAACCCATGGAAGACAACGATGAGATAAGAAGGTGCGGCTGCTTGATAAGAGGTGCACTACAGAATAAAAACGGGAGGGTAACGACAACGGTATCATATCAAATACCCACTGCAACCCCTTTCACATCGATACGCACGTGTTTTCGCTACCCGGTAAGTTGCATTTCCGGCGGCCCTTATCATCGTCGTTGGTAAGGCGCCATTGCCCCTGAAACTTGACTCACTGGGCAGAGACCTCTACCCAGTCCAGTACGTAACTTGCCTTATCTTCTCCCTAGGAATTATCGTGACCACCTCCTTTAAAAACATTGAAAAAAAAAACAAAACATTAAAAAAACATTTTCGTAGAGTGCCATGCACAGCGTGTTCTTCGTTGGACGTTGCCCAACTCCAAAATGTCGAATTGAAGCCTGCAGATCCAGAACAAGACAAGAAGGAACACGAAGAGAAAAAGAAGAAGGAAACCGAGGAATATCTCAAGCAATTTGACAAACCGTTCACCTGTTGAGACATTATGTGTGTATTTTGTGGTTTGATTTTCGCATCAAATAAGATACATACGTCTAAATAAAGAATTGTATGGCTATCTGTTTTCATGCTCGTTCGTTATTGACACTCGCCTGAGCACGGTAACTTTGAAGGCACTTAACATGCTGAAGTGTACGCGGTATGCCTCGCTCTCGCGTCTGACCCTCTAGCCGTTTAGCAGAGAAACCGTTAGGGTTGAAAAGAGCAGCACCGATAAGAGTTGCATCAATGCGCTTCCACCTCTACCCCGTTTCCAATGAGCTTTTTTATCGTAATAGTATAAGCCTGACTTCGTTCTGTCGAAATCACCTGTACGCTGCTCGTCCCTTAATCAACGAATTGCCGACCAGGGGTCAGTAGAAGTTCTATTAGATTTTGGGCGCAAGAGTGGTTCAGTGGATACTCCTCTGTCGAGGGACACGGAGTCTATCATTCCTTTCTTTCAGAGATTTCGTGAAGAAGTGTGGCCATCAGGTAGGCGGTCATACAGGGGTTCGTTTGACATCCGCCACAGGGATTCAGGCAGTAATCGCTCTGGTCGAACGGTATCACAGGAATCGTATCGAATGCTGACTTAGCGAAAATCGGCAGAGTCGCCTGATTCTTCGACAGTTGGGTACTTCAATAACTAAGGATTGCCCTGTCAAAACAGCTGTACATATTCTCAATATTCCAATCACACGTTGCATGCTCTTAATCAAGGGTGGTCGCGCCATTTTTGCAAGACAATTTCAGCCAATCGTTTTGATTTCTTGCGACCTGCTGCCATATGTGATCCAAAATTTCTTTCTTCAAAAGATTATTCCATCTGGCGAAAGCTTCCCGGTGACCTACTCCACAGTATACCAAGTGGTCAATAGAGACGTTCAGTTACCATCAAGGTGAGCAGCATGTCCAGCCTATCGCTTTTGCGAATCGTAGAGTTTCTTGCATGGCTGATACACTTTGAAGGAGCTATTATTGCCAATTGAAGTCGGATATGAAGTTTGGCTTTCCGACACTAGCTCATAATTAGTTGTAAAATCCGCTTAACTCTATAGCTGGAATGGAATCACCAGCTCCATAGCAATTATAGCTGGTAGTTCCGTACAACTTGGTCATCCATTTTAGTCCTTGATGAACATTGTGTTTGTGTTGCTGAAATTCTGGTAAGTATAGGCAGTTGACAGACCCCACAGAACCTAACAATGCAGACCGATTGATTTGACAACGTACGACCAACGACTTCTCAGGTGGAATTTTCGTTAAAAATGTGCTGCGTGTGAAGCTCACCGGGTTCGTTTTCGCTAAGGTCAGCACGTCATGCGATTTTGCGATGACCGTTGGACCAGAGCGGTTACCGACTGGATCCCTCGGGACGTCAAACGAACACCTGGACGACCGCCGGCCCGATGGTCAGACTTCTTCACGAAAGCTCTGAACGAAAGGAATGAAGGACTTCGTGTCCCTCGAGCGAGGAGGATCCACTGGACCACTCTTGCACGCGACAGGGACGAATGGAGACGTTGCTGGCGCCCGCTCGAGCAATTCGATGATCAACGGGACGACAGGTGATACAGGTGATTTCGACAGAACGAAGTCAGGCTTATACGCAGATATTACGATGAAAAAAGCTCATTGGAAATAAGGGTAGAGGTGGAGCGCATTGATGCAACTCTTATCGGTGCTGCTCTTTTCAACCCTAACGGTTTCTCTGCTAAACGGCTAGAGGGTCAGACGCGAGAGCGAGGCATACCGCGTACACTTCAGCATGTTAAGTGCCTTTAAAGTTACCGTGCTCAGGCGAGTGTCAATAACGAACGAGCATGAAAACAGATAGCCATACAATTCTTTATTTAGACGTATGTATCTTATTTGATGCGAAAATCAAACCACAAAATACACATCAATGTCTCAACAGGTGAACGGTTTGTCAAACTGCTTGAGATATTCCTCGGTTTCCTTCTTCTTTTTCTCTTCGTGTTCCTTCTTGTCTTGTTCTGGATCTGCAGGCTTCAATTCGACATTTTGGAGTTGGGCAACGTCCAACGAAGAACACGCTGTCGCACTCTACAAGAATGTATTTTTAAAGGAAGTGGTCACGATAATTTCTATGGAGACGATAAGGCAAGTTACGTACTGGACTGGGTAAAGCTCCTGCCCAGTGAGTCAACAGGTA